AATGCACCAATACCAACATACGCAGATGCTTCAGCCCCGTGCATCAAACAATGCAGTATTTGCCTATAATTTATGTAGTCCTCTAGATTAAATAGTCTCTAGATTACTTATAATATCTAATTCAATGTAAGTGCTATGTAAATAGGTGCAGACTGTTTTGTTTAGGGAACAATTAGATAGAAAAGCATGTACGTATTCAATACATACATGACCTGCCTCCCTCCCTCACTCCTTCCTTTGTTTCCTTCCACCCTATTTTTAAGGTATTTACATTAATTAATTAATTAATTAATTAATTAATTTAATGTGTATGGGGATGAAGGTCAGAGGTCATCAGGCTTGGCAGCCAGTTCTCCTGCCCCATTCGCCTTGTTTTAAGACAGGGTCTCTTGATCACTATGTACACTCCAGACTAGCTGGCCTGTGAGCTTCTGGGGATTCTCATGCCTCTCTTTTTCATTTCATCATAGGAGCACTGCAATTGCAGATACACACTATAATGCCAGACGACATTTGTATGGGTTCTGGGGATTCAAAATGAGGTCCTCATACTTGCACACCAAGTATTTTACCCACTGAGCAGTGTCCCCAGCCCTATTTTCCATAAATATTTTCAGTCAAAGGTTGACTGAATCCACGGATGCAAAACCTATGACAGCACTGCATTATTTCCATGTTAGTTTTTCCACTAAAGAAAAACAAGGCAAGAAGCCAGTCCAGGCACACACCTGCAATTCCAGTAATCAGGAGACTGATGTAGGATTATGAGTTCAAGGCTAGCAAGACCTTGTCTCTACACAGCAAGGCCCTTTTTCAAAAGAAAAAAACAAAACAAATAGGACAAGTTACTAGTCCCTTCTTCCTACTTAAGATAAAGTACCAATACCTGCTGGCCCTGGAAGTTTTGATACTAGAAGCAGAAAGAGTTAACATGCAGTTATAGAACTCACAGTTCATGAGGCCTAGTCAATACAAAGTGTGAGCAGAGAGATGGATGAACACCTTACCCTTAGGAAACATAATGGGAATGATGTTTCCTATAACACCCTGTAACAAAACAAATCTTCAGTTCTCCAGCTGTAAGACCATTGTTAACTTTATTATTAAGTGGCTAATTCCCTGGAAAATGACACTGGTAACTACCAATCCTTCCACAAAGACACCCCCCAACCCCAATAAATACAGAATGCCACAGGCCTACTGCCCAGAAGATACATTCCCAAACCCTTCTCCCTGTCTGCTCTATCTGAGGTGGCAATGTAGCAGTTCTGGACAAGGGAATACAACAAGGGATGATCTTGGGAAGCTTTGACTCAAAACAAAACAAGAGCCCACACATGTGGCTGGTACCATTCTTTTCTCTTCCTCCTATCTTGAGTTTGGTGGCTAAAACCATAGGAGCACCTTGCAACCACAGGGGGAAGATCAAGACTAGTCAGCTCTAGCACCACTGATTCTGTGAGAAGAACACAATTCTAATTACCTTCTGCCTCTGTTGTCAGCTTTTAAGCTTCCTAGGAATCCTGCCCAAAATAATTCTAACAGATGCAGTCATTTTCAAATCACTTGTTTGTTTGTTTGTTTGTTTGTTTGTTTGTTCGAGATGAGGGTCTCACTATGTGGGCCAGGTTGGCCTTGAACTCTCGATCTTCCTGCTTCAGCCTCTCAAATGCTGGGATTTACAGCTGAGTGCCACCATGCCTAATTGATTTCTAAATCACTTAGTAGTAATGTATTCAAAAGATTCCATTAATATTTAAGCCAAGTTTCATTTTATGCCTGAGATAATAATATAAGTTTAAACATGATATAGTAGCACATCCCTGTAATTCAAGTATCCGGGAGGTAGAGTCAGGATAATTTGCAAGTTCAAGGCCAGTTAGAGCTACACAGAGAGGGGCTATCTCAATAAACAAACATATAAATAACAATACCTTGCTTTCTTTTTTGTTTTTTGGCTTGTTGGGTTTCTTTCCTTTGGCCAGTATTAGGAACACATGATCCCTCCCCTTCCCTTCCTTCCTTCCTTCCTTCCTTCCTTCCTTCCTTCCTTCCTTCCCTCCTTTCCTTCCTTCCCTTCTTTCTTTTTTTGAGGCAGGGTCTCACTATGCAGCCCTGGCTGGCCTGGAATTCCCTATGTATATCAGGCTGGCTTTGAACTCAAAGAGATATGCCTGTCTCTGTATCCCCAGTGCTAGATTAAACAGCATGTACCACAATGCCTGGCTTATACCTTTCTTATTGATACAATTTTTTTTTCATGCTATTCCAACAGGAAATATAAGGTGCATTTAATTTATTCTGTGACTTTTTGAGACAGGGTCTCATGTAGCCCAGACTGGTTTCCAACTGGCTATTAGTTGAGGGTGGCCTTAAATTGTTTTTTTTCTTAATTATTTAATTAATTAAGTGTGTGTGTGTGTGTGTGTGTGTGTGTGTGTGTGTGTGTGTATTTGCATCAGAACAGGGAGTCAGATCCACTGGAGCTGAAGTTACAGGCTGTTATAAGCCACCCCATGTGGGCACTGGGAACCAAACTTGAGTCCTCTGCAAGAGCAGCAAGGGCTCTCAACTACTGAGCCATCATCTTTCCAGCATGGCCTTGAATTCTTGATCCTCTTGTCTCCACCTCTCAAGTGCTAGGATTGGTTACAGGTATACAGTATGTACCATGCTCAACTTCTACTCTGAAACTTTCAAATAGACCAATTTAGAAACAAATAAAAAGGCAACCATATCTAGCCATTCATTTCCAAAGCACTTGAGAAAAATGTGTCACAGACCAAATATAAGTACAGGTAGGATTATCCATAAGCCGTTTTATATTCAAAGCACTGAACAAACCAAATGAAAAATAAACACATTTGCTCAAACTTGCAAATCTACTACTTTTCAAGCAAGGGGCAAAATGATCTGATGAGGTTTGGTGGCAAACTAAATGCTTGCAAGCAAAAAGGTTACATTTGACTTGAGACAGACAACTGGCAAAGCCCACAACAACCCATTCTGCAACTAGTAATTTCATTTGGTAAATATGTTTACGGCGGGGCTGGAGAGATGGCTCGGTAGTTAAGAACACTGGCTGTTCTTGCAGAAGACCTGAGTTCGAATCCCAGCACCTATATGGCAGCTAACACCTGTCTGTAACTCCAGTTCCAGGGGATCTGACAGCCTCTTCTGTCCTCTGCGGGCATTGCACGACATGGGTGCACTTACCTACATGCAGGCAATATACAAATATACATAAAATAAAAATAATAAAGGAAAAAAAATGTTTATGGCAGCATTATTTGCAACAATGACAAAAATAATTTAAATATTCAATAGTCAGTGAATGGTTAAATAGTATTAAAATGTTATTGGGGCTGGGGTAAGAGCACTGACTGCTCATGCAGAGAATCCAGGTTCGATTTCCAGCACCCACATGGCAGTTAACAACTGTCGTAACTCTAGTTCCAGGGGATTGGACGACCTCTTCTGACCTCCGTGGGTGTTGCATGACACAGGTGCACTTATATGCATGTGGGCAATACACTATATACATGTATGCATGTGCACCTTTGTGCTCCCTGTTCTACACACTCCCTTGAAATAACAGCAGCTAAAAAGAATGAGCACCTCACACCAGACCTTAACTTCTAAATGCCATCATCCATTAAGAAGAAAGTTTCCTTCAAGAAAGACCAATCCAACAGCAGGCATAGTGAAGTATAAGATAAACTTTGAGGGGGCTGGAGAGATGGCTCAGCAGTTAAGAACACTGGCTGTTCTTGCAGAAGACCCAGGTTCGAATTCCAGCACCCACATGGCAGCTAATAACTGTCCCTAACTCCAGTTCCAGGGGATCCAACAGTCTCTTCTGTCCTCTGAGGGCATTGCATGACACAGGTGCACTTACCTATATGCAGGCAATACATGCATACACGTAAAATAAAAATAATAAATACTAAAAAAAAAAAAGATAAACTTTGAACATCTTCCAGCAAAGGGTACAGAGGTACTCAAAGAATGACTGGGATATGCCAAAAGGATATAAGCCAGCTTGAAGGGGCTTCCACCAATCTGCACAAGTTTAACATGAAAATAAATCATTCATCAAGTAAGATAGGAAAGCATAAATCCATATTGCTACAAACGAATCATTCAATTGGTAAATAAATGTAGGAGAAGGGAAATATTTTCATTATAGTAGAATACCAATTTACTTAACATAGAAGAAATTGTTCTTAAAACAAAACAGCTGTGTCTGGTGGCACACACCTATAATCCCAGTTCCAGACAGCCTAAGCTAAGAGCCTTAAAAAAAGAAAATAAATAAGCAGTTACCTCTGAAGTATAATGAGCATCCATACTTTCCCTCTAAAAAGTCTTATCATTTTGGCTTTATGAGCACATGCCTCTCTTATAAATCATTCACAATCCACCCACGTGTGGTGATGCACGCCTTTGATCCCAGCACTTGGGAGGCAGAGGTGGGCAGAGCTCTGTGAGTTGAAGGCCAGTTTGGTCAACAGCTGGGTCTACAGGAAGACCTTGTCTCAAAAAGACAAAAAAAAAAAAAAAAAAAAAAAAAAAAAAAAAAACAACCCAAAAAACCCCAAAACCCAAAAAACAAAAAACCCATAATCCTCAACAAACAACAGAAGCAAGCACACCTCCTGCACTTTTGAGAGTGCAGCGTCTCTATATGCGGCATACACCCCCTGATGCACACAGGGCACATGCCACACTGATTACCCTGGATCGGCTCAGATGACCCAGGGAGGTGGACTAATGCTGAGAATAAAACAACACAGCAAACACAAACCACCAGAGGCAGAGTTGAGATTTATGGAAATTTTTGATTTGGCTTTAGAGTAGTCTTGAAAGTGAAAGCAGGTAAGATGTCAATGACAAATGGTTAACTGATAAGAAGAAACAGGAGGGTAACAGGTTACAGAACAGGTCAATATCAGGCTGTCATGAAGCCATTTGAGACATACAATTAATCTATTACTCACCTGGCATCATCATTCATTGTAGTATGGTCAATAGGTGCCATGAAACTCAGTAGCTTGCTAAGGACATGAAACCTAAATAAAGCAAGAAATAAACAGGCAGCAACATTAGTAACCATTGCCCCAGCAAAGAAAACACATTCTACCAGTTAAACTCTAGAACTGATCCTAGGGACACTCAGCTCCTGAGTGGGGAAAAATTCACAAGCACCCAAACTGTATTTTTCCTTCTATCCTTAATGCAAGAAGAAAAAAATCTGATAATAGTACATTGAAAATGACAATTTAATATGGATCCATTTACATCACAGCTGAAAAATAAAGAGTAGATACACTTGTGACTTTGAGCAATAAACGAACACTTAAAACATTAGACAAAAGTCAATGAGGACCCAATTACCCCATTTTCCTCTCTGTGTACATTTTAATCATTTTTCAGCGTTGTTAAAGCCACCTGCCAGCAACAGCATGGGCAGTGGTGTAACTTCACTCTCAGTGCCTTGCCAACACTGTCCATTACTCACTGGCATTGGTTCCCTCAGCCAGAAAAGACTCCAGCTCCACATGAGCCCTGCTGCGTCTCTCAGGTCTCCATCTTTAGCTGAAGGAGCACAACTAAGTTTAGAATAAGTTTGAGTCCAAGATCTTTAGTCGAGCCGTTATGAAGTTTAAGCTACCTCATCTATATTCTCTGCCAACAGACACTAAAAGGTATTTTGTATGAAGTGTTTTGAAATTTCCTAGTGAAAAAGACTAAGCAAATATACCACTACCTAATAGACCACATAATAGAGAACTGAACAAGGCGTCCGTTTGTACTCCTCATAATGGAAAAGTCTCAGATGACTGTATACAAGCAAGCACACAAACATGTATATATAAAATTTTAGTCAAAAAAAATCTCTACTTAGGCAAAACATTTCCCACAAGCAAAAAATACAATATTCTCGTGTATGTATTACTTCAGTTTTAGAAACATCTTATACATCAAATAATTTAATTCTTTGTATCATATCTAAACCTCCCAAATTTCAACAAATAAATTTTATAAATAACAGTAATGAAATTTCTCTGATTCCAAGAGTAACAGAAAAAATATGTGTCCACATGCACACACACAAAGTTTAAAAAATGTGCTTGGAATATAGTCCCTACCACATAACAATATTTTGGTTAGTAAGGTACATAGTCAACAGGATATACAATACAGCCTAAAGGTGGTGTAGGTTCTACCTAGTTTTCTGTGTGTGTGTGTGTGTGTGTGTGTGTGTGTGTATGTGTAACTAGATCACTTAATGACATAGGTCTCAAAACATGTCCTTCTTGGTAAGCAACACATGACTGTAATTAATATTCTGCATTCTATACCCCTGAATGAACAATATATATTTACTTTGGTTTTCATAGTTTCAGAGTACTCTGTTGTGTCTATAAATTTATTTAATGCCATACTGAAGGGCATTTAAATAGCCTCTGCTCTTTTATAAACATATCACACACTGCCAAAATAAAGGATGCTGCTTGTTTGTCTAAGACACAGTTTCACAACATAGCCCAGACTGGCCTCAAACTTGTAGTAACCCTCTTAAAGAAAAGAGAATAAATTATTATAGCATCAGCATTGTAACCTGGCTTTTGTTTGGCTTATAGGGTTTTCTTAAAAAAATATTTATTATTTTTATTTTATGTTTATCAATGTATTGCCTGCGTAAGTGCACCAGTGTCATGCCATGTCCAGATACTCTGGAACTGGAGTTATGGATAGTTGTCAGCTGTCATGTGGGTGCTGGGAACCAAACCAAATCTGGGTACTCTACAAGAGCAGCCAGTACTTTTAACCACTGAGCCACCTCTCGGTTTTTAGTTTTTTAAGTTTTGAGAGTTTTTTTTTTTTCCTTTTTGAGACAGAGCCTTCCTGTAGCCCCAGCTGGCCTGGAAAATCCTATGTAGACTAGGCTGGCCTGAGACTCTCATTCCTCAACTTCCAAGTGCTGGAATTGCAAGTGTGTGCTACCACACCTAGTTGCACAAATGGTGTTATAACCTTTAATGTCAGCAGGCTGTAGTGGTACATGCCTGTAGTCTCAGCTACAACAGTCCTAGCTGCTCAAGAGGATGAGGCAAGAGGAACACTGGAGGCTAGGAATTCAAAGTCTGGCAACATG